CAACTGCTTTGCAGTCTTCAGAAAAATTAAAACCCGGTGTCCGATAAGCGGTGCCTGGTACCGCTGAGTGTGATGATGCTGGTGCAATATGTAGGCGTAATCTCAGCTGTGCACCTTGTGGCTGCAGGGAGCTGCTGGGATGCTCTGGAAGCAGGTTATTGATAAACTTCGACGGCAAAGAGCCGCGCTGCCCGCTCTGAGCAGCGTTAGTCTTTGTGCAGCAAGGATCCTGACACCGATCTCGGTGATAACCCAGCCTGAGAGCGTGTGATTCGAGCTACTTTCCGTTAAGCATGTTGATGTTACAGTAAATGTGACATGTGGGTGTTGATTGAAGGGACATAATTTTCAGGCCTGCTTTGGGCCAACACCCTGAAGAGCAAGTCAGTCCTTTGTGCTTGCTCCCCAACTAGGCTGAGCTCTCCCTGGCTGTGCCTTCAAGACAGCAGTGACTGAGGAGAACAGAGCATTTGACGCGCTGCAGCACATTTCTAGGCAGTATCCTGTACCTGGCTACCAGGAGATGTGTCTCTATGGTGGACTCAGCTCCCCCAGCTTGTCCCAGAGAAGAGTGGCCCCTGGGGTAGCCTGTGCCTTGTCCCCCAGGTGGGCACAAGGGTGGGCAGTGGCTGTGGCAGGGTGCTGGGGCAGGCAGGGCACCCAGCAGCACCTCTGCAGTGAAGGCACTGGCAGCGCTCACATTCACCACCCCATTATTGATTTGTGCAGAAAGCAGCCACGGGGGGGAAGTTTCACATGCAACACTTTGGCCCCACACCAAAACATTTCCTCTGCCCCCTTTGCCTCATTTTGATACTGTAGAACAAGTAAAATAAGGAAAAGAATAGGTTGGCAACTTCTAGATCCTTTCTTACCCTGGTTCTGCAAAGCAATAAAAAGACAAGAAAATAAATGATTGCTGTCTGGACCCAGCCTCACTCAAACTCTGTGAACAAGCATCCATGGGTCTATCCTTTAAAGCCTTGGAAATGACTTTTAGCAAAACAGTCTTTTCCACTATTAATGGGTAAGATTTTGAGACAACTGACAGACAGAAAGTAGTTAGCATTTGCATTCACTTTAATACTGGGCATGAGAGCATTGTTTGCATGGGGCACATATGCTCTAATGATGTCACCATGCTGGAGCAGGAGCGCTGGTGGCTTTGTGACAGTGCCTTTATGGAATTAAGGGGTTTGTCCACTGTATTTTGGTGTGATAGACAGCCAGAGACTTTGGAGATGCTGCTTAGAGTCCAGTCAGCAAGTGCAACACTTTTTTTTGAGTAAAGCAAATGATTTAGATTGTCCAGTTGCTTTAATTTCAGAAAGCCATCACATAACAACTGTGTCACTCATGTCCCCAAAGATTGCCCATTGCCAACTCACTGTGCTCCCTAGGCAAGCAGTGCCAAGGCAATGCTCTGTGTAGGAATCTCTGGATGCAGGGAAAATACTGGGCACACCTTAACACGCCTGAAAGAAGCAGGGCACGAGTCCTGGCTGGAAATAGCTCATTTGCTTTTTTTTTACTTTTCCCATGTAAGCGACATGAGATGTTTTCCCTCCTCCTATTTTGTGTGGCCTAATTTCTCCTTCTTAAAAATAAAAATTAATTTAAAATAAATACTTGTGAATAAACACCCTCCTTCCTCTAAACCCATCTACCAACAACAGCAATAAAACCACAGAGTTAAATTCAAATAATGTGAAGCGACTCATTTTAAACCCACAGACACAAGCAGAGTCAGAACTTTAGATTGAGACTGGCCTAAATTGCCCCACTGGTATTAAAGGGCTCCTTAAACAGCCTAAGATCTTGGCTGTTGTATTAACCAGGCATGACCCAATGCGTTATGGGCTGGACTCGCAGGCTTTTTTCTCTTTCCCTTTGTGGGTTTTAAATCTCTCCTGTAATGTTACTTGAATGTAGGTTTTTAATGGCTTAATTGAGTTGTCAATAGGAAGCCTTTTCTTTCTTGTTTTTTTTTTTATTCTGAGTAAAAAAAATAAATGCAAATTGACATGGATAAAATGCATTTGAAGATCTATTCAGTATTTTGTTTTTCATTCTTTTATGTCTGTTTTCCATGTTGTGAATAAGGGGATGTAATATAGCTTTCGCATTGTTGGGTGAATAGCTGGTCGCATGATTGATGATTTATTAAGCTCAAATCAGAAATAGTATTGAGTAAAAAAAAAAATCTTTTGATAGTTTGAAACCCAATTACTACTGATCACGAGGGCTCGGCGTACCAAGAAAACGAAAAGCTGATTTTTGGTGATGTGACGACTGCCAAAATATGAAGGAATACCAGATGTTATTTTAAAAAAAGTGCCATTGCAGAGTCCTTGGAAAGAGAGAGTGAGCGAGTGTAAGCGAATAGGCATATGTGGATTTAACTAATATTCAAATGAAGTCTAGAACTGAAAAGAAAGAATTCGTAACAGTTTAGCTGTTCAAACCTCCTTCATGTTTCCACAGATGCCTGGTCAGGACCCTTATCAATTGCAGCAATTTTACTACATTTTCAGAAGAGCACGATCTAAATCACAGGCAAAAAAAAAAACAAAAACCTCACATCAAAAATATAATAAAGTTGAGATCCGTGCTTTCTTTATATTTGTTACATATATATAAATGCCAAAATTCAGCCTTTGTAATTTAAGACACAGACTTTAATAAAAAGGCTTCAGAGGAATGTTAGTGAAAGTAGTAACAAGCATTTTTCCCCGTGCCATCTTTTATTCTTACGACCCTTGGTTCAATTCCTGTTTTCGTGTTGTCTTTTCCAGCTCTTTGTCCCATCTCTCACTTGTGTATCTTCGTGCCTGTGTGTGCCTCTCTGTACAGTTTTTTTAAATATTTTGACACACTCTTCCCCCTTAATAGGAATTCTGGCTACAAATTGCGTGCACGTTTCTAAAAGACCCTTTTCACAGTCCTTTTCTTTTGGCTCTAAAATGATGTATATGTAATTGGTAATTAAAGGTGCAAGCTCTCTTCAATATAAACAATATTGCTCAATGTTAGATCATTAAAGGGAACTGCAGCACTAAATAATTACCTTTTGCATCGTGACACACTGTTCGCAGGTATCCGCTCCCTTCCCCAGCAGTGCCTTTTCAGCACAGGGTTATAGTCACATTTTCACTAAGGCAAGGAGACATCTTTTCATGATATAAATTGGTGAATTAATTGCTTAGCATTGTCTTCAAACTCCTTTTAAACCTAGATTAAGAGGAAAACGGTAATTAATGATTTTCAGAATGGGTGAGTTGGGAAGCATGAGCCTCCTTGTGCCCGTGGCTGGCTCCAGCAGGATGGTCCGTGCCTGGGCACTGCTCTGGGGTCCCCGTCCTTTTCTGCCGCCGCTGCTGCTGCCGCTCTCTGCTTTGCTGCTAGAGAGCTCTGATGCAACTTGTAATACAGCTGGTAGATATGCTGATCAGTTATTTATTCTGGAAGGCAGAAAAGGGAGTGATTCTTTTTCTAAACTACCTTTTTTCGAGGCTTAACCATTTTTGTTGCCAGGCAATGCATTCTACCTTCTACCTCTTGCCCCTTTTCTATGTGTTTCTTGTTTTTTTATTCTTTTTTGTTTTGTTTTTATTTTATTTTTTTTTTTAATTGCTGTAGAGTGGAACAAAAACCCTTTTGTTTTCAGAATGGAGAAGAGTCCAGGTCTGAATTATAACATCTGTCTATCACAGTCTTACTTCTTTGAGATATTCGTGTTACTTACTTTTCCCAGGAAATCCATGAGGAAACTAATAGAGAACGTTTTTCCTCCTATTCCTTTAATCCTGATTCGATTAGAGGTCTCAGTCTCTGATTTACATACTGTTAGTTCCTCTGTTTTGTTTAGTCCAAATCCTATAGTCCTTGCAGAGGCAAACCAGCCTTAGGCAAAAGTCAGTGGAAATTTTGCCTGAGTAAAGTCCAAGGTTTGTATGATTTGGCAGTTACATGGCAGAATAAGAGAAAACAAACAAAAAACCATGTTTTGCCTCAAAAATGGATTGTGATCCACAATTATTTTATAGTGTAAAAATTATCTTCTAAATACTGATTTAAAACATACTGCGTTTTATTAATTGTGACATGAAAAGTTACATATTTCCTAGAAACTGATTCAAGTCACCCAGAAATTCTTTCCCAGTCTTTGGGGGTAAAGGTAGGAAATTCAACACGTCTGTGGACAAGATTTAAACAAAAAAACTTTTATTAGCCTATGTAGCAATGGCAGGGTTTTTGGCATTGGAAAAATAGAGTGGAATATTTCAGGCTCAGCCAATATTCCAGTATGTTAAATAAGTGCCTCATTCCCTTTCCCACTGTACACAGTTTTGAAACCCCTTAACTGCTCATGAGACCATACCCTGCTTGTGTTAGTCTTGCTAGAAGTTTTTTGTAATTTCTGCTAATGGGTGGTCATTTAATCTTGCTGGTAACTCTGTAATGGGACAAGGTGGTGCTAATTTTGTGTGTTGTGGGGAGCCCAGTCCTGATAGTTGGGTGCATAAAAGCTTTCCCCCTCTCCCTGAAAAAGAAGGAAAGACTTGGGTGCATAAGCTTTGCTGGATGGGGCCTTGGCCAGATGGCTGGGAGACGCGGAGGGAATGAGAAGGTGGGATAAAAAGAGAGGAACTATTTCAGAATGTGACTCGGGGCTTGAACGCTTGCAAAATGGCTCTTTGCTGATATCCTTGCAGTGCTGGCAGCAGTGGGAAGGAGCTGTCAAGAAAGCTATGCCAGGTCAGCCTTTCCATTTTGTTTCAGGCAGGCTTGGTTGCAAAATATATTGAAATCATTCTGGGAGAGCGGAAAAGCTGAAAAATAAAAGAAAGATCTAATCAGGCTTGGCTCCTTTGAGGGGGGTGCGGGGAGGCCGGGCCTCTGGTGATGCATCCTTCAGAGTCTGTGAACACTCAAAGCAATCTCTTTCTCTTTTCCCCTCGCCCCTTTCCTCCCTCTTTCTCCTTGTCCATGCAAAGCAGAGGCTGACCATGTGGAACCGGCGCTGGCCGACGAGGACGAGAGCCTGGCAATAGCAGACCCAGGCGGCATCGGCATCGCCGCAGGCGGGACAGACCCCGACCTGCTGACCTGCGGACAGTGCCAGATGAACTTCCCGCTGGGAGACATCTTGGTTTTTATAGAGCACAAGAGAAAACAGTGCAATGGCACTGGTGGTGTCTGCTATGAAAAGAGCATGGATAAGAGCAGCCCTCCCCCCTCCTCACGCGCCGAGCTCAGGAAAGTGTCAGAGCCAGTGGAAATCGGGATCCAAGTCACACCCGATGAAGAAGACCGTCTTCTCACGCCCACAAAAGGAATTTGCCCCAAGCAGGAGAACATTGCAGGTACAGCACGTTTTACACTCAATCAACTTGCCTAGGTAATCTTTTAACTAGAGTCCTCTAGAAAGTGCCATGAAACAGGCTTCAGCAACACGTCTTTATAGGTGCCATTCATCTGGAGGATCCTCACGGCTCTGCAGGGCTGTCCGTGCCCTGTTTAATTCTTTGTAGCTGTCTGTGCAGGGCCAGCTGCTGGAGAAAGGGGCCTCTCAGGCAGCTGGAAGAGCTAAGGGGCAGGCTGTACATCTGGCAAAAGGCAGAAAGTTTGGGTCAGAAAACATTTCAGGAGCATCCTTAAGCAAGTAGGAGTGACAGAGGGATAGGAGACTTTGTTGAGGTGCCCAGCTCAGTCCTGTTCCAGATACCCTTTGTCACATGCAGACTCACTGGGAAGGGCTGCGTCTTGACGCTAGGAAAAATCCTCTTCCCATTGACTGGTAGTGGAAAGAAGATATTTTTTTTGTGAGAGCTAAAGCAGGGTTTCATTAAATCCTTTATTTTTCATTCCCTGGGGTAGATGTCAGCTTCCCGGCCTGCACTGCTGCCTGTGCTGCCTGTTCTGGGTTTATTTAGATGGCTTGGGTTGGATGGGTAACACGTCCACTCTCATGCACACCCCAAAGAGTTCTTCTGAGTAAGGATACAAGAGCACAGGCTGGCCTGGGTGAGCAGATTGCAGGCATTTCTTTTTCTAAAACTCTCACATGTGGTGAGGTTAACGTTGATTCAGTGGGCCTCCCCCCCTCAGACGTGGGCAGGCAGGTGATGATTATCCACCTAGGTGAGGTGGTGTGCAGTGGTTCCTGCAGAGTGCCTGGCATGGGGTTGCTTCCATCAAGCAGGGTGTTTTTCCCCTCTGCAGTGGTGAAAGGATGACTCTCCTCCCTGCTAGTGAGTGGGGGTTTTATGTTACACAGCAGGATCTCCCCTCAAACGGGCCTTTTTTGTTCAAACCAACTGCATCCCATACAGAGGACCAGTGACAATCTGCCTTTGCTGCCACTATCCCGATTTATCTAGGAATTGTCCTATGGGATTAGATCTGACAGTCCAGGATCCCGCCTGTGGCAGAGATGCTCCCATGAGGGGATCCCCAGAAGACAGGTGAGAGGCTCCATCTTCACAACTGAAGCTTAAGAGATTTCTGCCTTTAGTGTTGGAGATGTCTGAGCCAGTCCCCAGCATCTCTGACAGGCTTGGGCATCACATCACTGAGGGCGTAGGCTTTAAAATGCTGCAGGCTTCAGACCTCCTGTCTTTTAGGACAGGGCATACAATGCCCATTGACTACACTGTCTCCTTCTAAGAGTATTTTTTGGGGTGCAGCCACCACCCTGACATGGGGCAGCTGTCAGCTCTGGGAGCATTAGCTGTGGCAGGCCTGTGCTGCAGCATTGGAAGCAAACCTACCGTGAGACCTGACCCCGTCTTTTCCTCATCCTTTTTCAGCTCTCCTCATCCTTTTGCAGTCGTGAATACATTCCTTGGTAGAGATGATTGCATCATGGTGTAGCAGATTTGAGGGCTAGATTTCCTTTCCATTTGGTAGGAGCAGAAGGGAAATATTCAGGACCTTCCTTCCTCTGCTGAAGGCTGCCTGAGTGGTGCTGAGCACTCCCAAAAGCTGTTGATCTCTGTGCAAGCTGATGGCGCTCAGCCCCTTGCAGAGGGTGTGCAGTGCTTAGTAAGGCTGGTTTAGGAGAGCTCTGCTGCAGCTGCAGTCCAGAGCTCATCTCTTACTAATCTATGTCCAAGTTCAGTCTACAGTACCTCAGTGGTTACTCCCAGAGCAGAGGGTGCTGTCCCATCCCATCTTCTGGGGGTCAGCAACAACATAACCAAAGCTTTTGCCATGCAGAAAATCTGCTGGGAGGTCATGAAGGAGATGTTCACACGGGGAAAAGGCATAAAAAAAATTAAAAGCCAATCTGGAGCACCTAATCTCTTTCAGACTAAACTGAATATCAAATGAAAAATATGTAGGAAAGATTTTGAATTGAGAAAAATAAAAGGGTTTATCATTTGATTGGCATTTTCTCAGCAGTGCATGGAGATAGGGACATCCACTAAACAGTGCTGTAATAATACTTTCTCAATTAGGAGCCCAGCTCTGAGATAAAAAGGTGCAGTGTCCTTCCATATTTTTTTTTAATAGCAGCGGATAGTTTTCAATAGTAGGATAAAAGCCTCACATTACAGCCATGGAGGGTAGCCATGAAAAACCCACAGAAGTCATTCACTGGAAAGGCTTTAGTGGGATATACCAAACCCCTTATTTATATTTCAATAGAAAGGCTTTCTGCATTAGCCAAGAAAATCAGAATCTGCATTTAACATTAAAGGTATTTCCCAGTGAGCGGCTGTAGAGCATTGTTGTTAGATTTGTTAAAAAAAGAGACTAAATACGATTTCATAAAAGGGAAACTTAATCTCTAAGGCAGCTTTCTCCTACCCTGCCACCCCCTCTCTTTATTTTTTTATTTTTTTTGTAGTAATGCAACAGCCTACAGTATTTTTACTTTATATGTGACGAAAGATATTCTTAGCCTTTCTGTACTGCGACAGGAAGAATGAATTTCTTTATTCCACCAAGAAATATGTAAAATAATCCCTTAGAAGTATGGGGAGATATGTTTGTTCAAAGCATTTAAAATGTTATTTTAATCAAAGGCACAAAACACTCTACATGCTGTGTCAGCTAAAGGAGACCATTACATTTTAACAGCAAATCATGTTCTTTTTCCCCCTCCTAGCCAGCCCCCCCCCTTTGAAACTAACTTTTTTTTTTTATTAAATAAAAAGGCGAAAAAGATTAAAGAATAAAAAAAAAACTTCAGTGGCTCAAATGTATAAAGTAATTTAATATGGTGGAAGCATTAATTATTTTAGCTTAATTGAATTCTGAGGACTGCAGTAGTTGCATTTTTGTAGACAAGCTCTGTTTATTATTTCTTTGTGTAGATTAACAGTAAAGGAAACATAGATAACTTTCAGTTATTTATTGTAAAATAAATGTGTCAATTCATGTGTAAAGCAAGCTGTTCAAAGATAATTGAGTCTTTATATTTGAAGAGGGAAACCAGAAATCACCCACTCGCCACTCTGGCTCCCTGAAATATGCTGCCACCACTGCTGTCCTCGAAGAGGTTTCAGCTCCTCTCCTTGATCCTGTGTTATTCTTGCAGACCTTCTTATTTGGTCAGAATGATTTGTAAAGCCTTCTGTGGTGTGACTAAGCCACCAGACCTTGCAGCTTCCCAAGGCTGAATGCTCTGAGGGTATGTCAAGTGCTGAGCTTGGCTCTGCCATTGTACCTCTTGTCGCTCTGGGTGTGAGGATATTGGGATGCAGAAACCGCGCTCACTATTCATCCTGGCACAGTGTGCTCCTCAGGTCTTTCTCCCTCTCTTTTCTTTACTTTCTTGGTAGCTCTTCTTGCCCCAGTCACTGAATGCCTCTTGACCACACAACAGACCTTGTGCTGCTTTGAGGGACACGTTGAGGCAGAACTCAGGAGCCCACGAGAATTTTTTATGTATGCAACACAAATCTCTGACAGACATTTCTATATTCCAGTGGAAACAAAGGCAATTTTGTCTCTGCAATCAGCTTTTAAAGATCTTCTGATAATGAAATCTGTCATCTCTCCCTGACTGGTAACTTGCAAATCCAAGTTTTGGAGGTGTTTTCATTTAGTTACCACTGTCCGTAAGATGTGTGGTAGCATGTCAGCTGGCACTGGGAGGACGTGACTTGCTTAGGAGCAGTCTGCCCTGTGAAGGCTTTTTTTTTCTGTTTTTCAAATTGGCTGACCTGTTTGAGAATCAGTTCTGCCTCTTGTACAGAGGGTGTGATAGTATCGAAGAGATGTACCAGATTGTTGCACAGCAAAACATAACCAGGCCAATGAGTTGGCAAGCAGTTATCGGTCACTGCTTCTTTTATTTCACTGCTGACAGGTATTTTGGAAAAAAATAGACGGCTGTTGTATTTTATACCTCTTTTTATCTTTCATATTTATCAGATCTTGGGCATAACCAGGTGACCTGTCCTGGCTGAAGAATGACCTTGGAAGGTGCTCCCACTGTCGTTTCACTAATGGTATCTCATCTCTTCCCTGTGGCCCTGTGGTCTGTTTGTTAGCAGGATTCTCTGAAACTTAAAGTCAAAAAAAAGTACCAGCCGGCTTGATTTTAATGCTGAATGGTTTTAATGCTGAGCACCCCAGCAAAGAGGAGGGAGCCTCTGTGGAGCAGGCACTACTTGGACCAGACCTTCTCCAGACTCACTGGCAGGTCTGCACCTTCAGGCCAGCAGATCTTCACAAGCATATAACTACAGCAGCAGCACAGGTTCACTAAGATGGTGAGCTAATTCTTGCAAAGATAGAGCTAGGAGAGGAGAGGGGAGTGATTGGAATTCCTCATTCATCCTGTCCTGGCCACCAGTGCTGGGCTCCATACATTGTACTAGATGTACATCATGAAAAAAGACTCCCTGTCAGAGGCAGGATTTAACTGCAACCCCTGCTCCATGAATGTTCATTTCAGGCTTTTGAATGGTAAAACTGCCAGTGAGAGAAACTAAATAACTTGCATGTGCTGGAAGCCAGAGATAAACACCGCTGCAGGTTGCCATGAAATGGGCTATTTGATATATTTAGAATTGTTATTTTTCTCCAAATTAAGATTAGTTAAATCCATGTGTGTTGTGTGAGTGACTGTTAACTCAATGGCATGGATTATCCTTTTTTCAAATCTTGACAGCTAATTATTATTGCTGCCTACCCTGAGACATTCTCTTACAATGCACCATTATGGACCCGTGCACCCACATTTAACTGCAGGACTCAGACAGCCGGCGTGATGCCTTCACACGTGCGGGGAGGGAAAGGAGAGCTGAAACAGCCCAAGGACTGCCACGGTGACATCAGGCAGGTTGGGAAGAGGTGCTCTGAAGCTGAGCTGGAGCAGGGCTTGGTGGCTGTCCCCTTCCCAAGGCTG